TCGCACCCCACGAGCGCGCCTGGTTGCCGGCGTTAATTCTCTCCCCACAGGTCTAGGGCGGAAAAAAGAAAGGAAATTCTTCTTCTTCTTCTCTCCCCAGCTCTGAGAAGAATTTTTGTCCAAAGTAATAATTACCATTTCTGGTTAAGGCCTTTAATTTTGAGGTGTCTTTGAAGAGCGTGGGCTAAATTGCTTCATGAACGGGACGTTTTCTGGCAGCACTCCGTGGGAGCTGAGGCGTTGTACAGACCCCAGACACAGAGCCCAGAGGTGTCCCCCGTGCCCGTCTCCCTCACGCCCTGCCCCTGCGCCACGTGGGCTCGGGAAGGAGCAGGCGCAGCATGGCCAACAGCGTCTGTCGTGGTGTGCGCCGCTGCTGGGACAGCCAGGCAGTGGGCGCTGCGCCTGGCGGGGAGACTCCAGGGTTGTTTCACCCAGGAAACTAATGTCACGCCCGCAGCAAACGGTGATGCTGCGGAGACGTCATGTCTTGTCAGGACAAGGGTGTGTGAGGATATGGGATTCCAGCTTCAGGTAGGAGGAGCGGCCCGTCCGAGACTGGCGGCAGGTTTCTGTGCTCTGCTGTCAGTTCGCTGACCCGCACGACCAGCCTTGGGGCAGGCATCCTTCCCCTGCCCGTGCTCGGACACCGGAGGACGTGGGCAGGGCTGGAGCGTGGCAGCACCGTGGCCGTTTCTCCTCTGAGCAGTGGCAGCGGTTCCAGGCTGCTCTGCAATGCCTCCGTGGCTCTAAACCAGCTGCGTTTGACTTATTGCTCCCATTCACCAACTCTGTTTGAGGGTTGAGTTGCAAATTTTGTGCAGAGCTTTCCATCCAAGTGCGGCGGAGTTAGAAACACTGTAATGTAAGCTGGCACCTTGCTCAGCAGATCTGTCCCAGGCGTGTGCTAGCCCTGGCTCCAGCCTCCACTGCCAAATGCAGAGGAGCTACTTCGGAGCGGCAGCTGTCACCTTCTGCCTGTTGGCCTGGCTTCCTGCGCAGTGGGTCCTTGACTAGTCCCCTAGATGCTAAAACACAAGAATCCCTCGTTAGTGGTCAAAATGTTAGTCAGCATGTTAGTGACAATCTGATGGCAGTCACCCCAACGATAAAACCAGAGAAAGTGAGCCCAGTTTGAGACTCCATGCCCATGATGAGTTGTTTTTAAAACAACATGTAAATAGCAGAAGTAATAAATTTGGCAGTCTGCAGTGCCAGCCTTGTAGCAAATGCTTTGCTGCAGCTACGAAGTTTGGCTGTGGCAGATGGATTATGGCCCTTGCCAGGCACAATCACACGCTTTGTGTGCTACCAGTGCATAAGCAGAATATTTCTGCAGACGAGCACAAGCTACAAAACTTGGTTCAGGCCTTCAAATGCTGCTGGGTTTGGATGTCTTGGTTTTGAGATCGGAGTTTGGCTTGTTGCGGAGAGAAATCTGTTTACAATGGTTTGGCATGGTGGGTTCATTTCCAAATTTTACTGGAGTTCACAGTCTGGGTTTATTGGCATCCTTCTTGGATTACTTTGCTGATGATTAATACTCTCCATTTTCTTAGAATAACCAGATAGAAGAAATCTTTCCAGAAGAGCTTGCTCGTCTTTACAGACTGGAAACTCTCAATTTGCAGAACAACAGGCTAACTTCAAAAGGTAAGCCAGCAGAGCTGTGAAGTGGATGGAGCCTTTGCCTCCACAGCACCAACTCATGCAGTGGGGCCAGTGACAGCCGGTAAGGAAAGCCACAGAGTGATGGACTGACTTGGTTGGGGAGGTGTCATGGTTTAGCCTGGCTGTATGCCAGTTACCACCAAAGCCACTGTATCTACCCCCTCCTCAACTGGACAGGGGAGAAAAAATAGGACAAAAGGCTCGTGGGTCGAGATAAGGGCAGGGAGAGATTACTCACCAATTACTGTCATGGGAAAAACAAGATGAACTTGGGGAAATTGGTTTCATTTATCACCAATCAAATTGGAGTAGGATAATGACAAATAAAACCAAATCTTAAAAACCCCTTCCCCTCACCCCTCCCTTCTTCCCAGGCTCAGCTTGACTCCCATATTCTCTTCCCTCCTCCCCCTGAGCGGCGCACGGACTCCATGGACTGCAGGGGAATCTCTGCTCCGGCATCTGGAGCACCTCCTCCCCCTCCCTCTTCACTGACCTTGGGGTCTGCAGAGTTGTTTCTCTCACATAATGTCACTCCTTTCTCCTGCTGCAAAATGCCCTTATGCAGGTTTTTCTTCCCTTCTTAAATACGTTATCCCAGAGGCACTGCCACCATTGTTGATGGACACAGCCTTGGCCAGGGGTGAGTGCATCTTGGAGCCACTGGCATTGGCTCTGTTGGACACGGGGGAAGCTTCCAGCAGCTTCTCACAGAAGTCACCCCTGTAGCCCCCCTGCTACCAAAAGCTTGCCACGCAAACCCAGTACAAGTGGTTAGCTCTAAGCCTCACTCCTTTGGCCATCACACGTATCATGGAGGCACTTTATCATCCGAAATATAATACTCAGTGTATAAGAATGCAGCCTTACTGATCCAGTGGAGGAGACCTGGCAGCAGCACTGTGTACTGTGGCGTGAGATCTGCTTGTCCAGGAAACTCCCCCCGGTCCCACAGGCACATCAATGCAATGAACTTGAGAACCAGAAATGTCTACATAGTGAATGATTTCCTTCTGACAGACCTTGTTTCTTAATCCACTGGTTTAGTTCAGTCTAGTCACTCAGTGCAGCTTAGTCCAGTTCAGTCCTCGTTGAATTTAATATAAATACAAATAATACGTATTACAAAAAAGGCAACTTCTGCCATTCTTCTAAAATAATTTTGATTTTCATAAGCAGGTTTTGCTTGCTAAGTCATATGCTTATTAGAGAAACTTGACAAGGAGTTAGTAAGGAAAGCAAAAGAAACAGGGGAGTTGGAGTAAACAGTAAGAGAGGAGGATATGCAATACAAAAGATGTAGTTCTTCTTAACTTGTGTGTCACCCAGTTGCTCTGAATGCTGTTGCTGTCCTTATTCCAGTGATAGAGAACAGCCTTTATTGAGAAAGTGGGCATATTGTGCATGGGACCCAAAACGTAGCACTCTTGCATAGCACAGGGAAGGCTGTGCTTAATAGATTCAGACTTTGACATTATTACCTTTGGGGCTTGGCATTTCTTTTGCAAGCTTCAGTGCCGCCCTGAGTTTCCAATATGTTTTGACGTGGGAAATCGCTTCACCTTTGACTTACGGTTATCTAAGTGCCAGATGAAAATGTTATTTACAGCCTTTCCGTTGTGACAGCAATTGTGCTTGTGTGATCAGCTGGATGTGGAGTGATTCAGCTGAAAATTAATAATTATTCGGGGAGGGTAAGCTCTGTGTTGGATCAGCTCTCTGAGCTGGTTGCTGTGTGGCTATCTGGATTGTGGGGGAGCAGAACAAGGGAAGGGTTATGACATGCAGATACTGGTCTTATTTTCACAGTGTCATGGTCATAGGTCAGACTGATCTGATCATTAAACAGCCTTAGATTATGTCCTTCCAAGAAAAATGCTTTGCAGATTCATGAGCAAATGACAAAAGAAGCTTCTCAGATCGCATGGTTGCTGCGAGCACCAATAATCAACCGTACAGCGAGTCTACACTGTTCTGTACCTGACCCTTGCTGGCAGGGTTGGCCACAAGCCTTGCATTGCTTAGGATTTTTAGTAGTCTTCCATTGCTCGTAACGGTCTGTGGTGTTTTTTTCTAATAAAAAAGACAAAGGCAACAATAGGTCTGAGTCAGATTGTTTCAGTAGCAGTGAAAAACATTTAAATCTCACATTAAAGATAGTGTCTGAGAGGGAAAGCTACCCTCTGGTATTTTCACTCAGAGAGGCAAGAAAGTGCCAGTGTTACTGATCAGTTGTTCCTGTTTTTAAGGGTTACCAGAGGAAGCATTTGAGCATCTGGAGAACCTGAATTACCTGTACCTGGCAAACAATAAGGTAAGAGGCTTGCAAGGCTTTCAAAGTTCGTTTCTAACTGGGTTCTGAAAGTTAAACAAGCAAGTCTTCAGTTCTTGTAGAATATGTATCCTACATAAGTAGAATCGTGCTCTAATGCTGGTTCATCTAAGGTCAAGACAATCAGTTAGAATGCTACAAAATTAGAGGGTACACATGCTGGTATATTTTGAACACTTATTTATTTGTGCAGCTGGTGAAAGGTTTCCCTTGTGTGTGTAGGGATGTAGAGAGAGCACCTGCATTTGTAAATTACCACTGTCTTCCATAGGCTTTGGGTCAGCTGCACACAGAGTTGGTTGCTGCCTACATGCAAATAAGCTGTGGGGTAATGATGTGAAATGCTGGAAATCTCATCAGATGAGGCCGGTTGAAAAATTTGTGAACAAACACATCCTTATACCTGTGTTTGAGCCATCAAGATCTGTAGAAAGCTATCCAGTTTTCCCTGACTCCCGATCTTACTAGTTGTGATGTGGGGGGATATCCACACACAGCGAAACTGAGCAAGAAATGTATTTATTCTTTTAGCTGCAGTGTTAGGGAGCTGAATTGCATTTTTAATGGAGAAGATCCTAGGTGCTTTCCTATTAAAGACCCAAGTTAGATGTCATGACAGAAGCAAATCTTTCCTGCCAAGGCTAGGAAATGAAATAACTTGTCACATACCCTTATATCTGGGTGATTCCCATTATAGCTTTCTTTATCCCCAACAGTTGTCCACAAATGTTTGCTACAGATGGAACTGGGATGCCACAGAAAAATATAAGTTGAAAAACATCAGGCAGAGCTTCTTTTGCCTACAAAAACCCTACCCTTCCATCCCTCCCTCTCTTTCTCTCTCTCTCTGTTGATATGCATGTCTGTATATATATTTTATTATCCTCTTAGAATCTGTGACCTTTTGGTGTTTTGTTTATACTCATGCGGCCACATCCAGGTTTCAGTCAGGCCAAGATATATCCAGAATCACTCCATAGATTTCTGTATGAAGTGATTGAGAATAGAACTCATTCCTTAGTACAGTAACACTGTGTTCTTTTCTCCCTTTCAAGCACCATTTCCATATAACAATCTTGGCAGTTAATAACTCCATAAAAAGGAACAAGCCAGACTGTGACTAATATTCCAGAACTTTGCACTCCAGTTTTCCCTGTGTGACAAAACAAAGTGTTTGGTTTTTCTGGCTTTACTGCAGAGAGAAAAAGATCCCAAAAGAAAATGCAAACATCAGCGAATGTCAGAACTAGTTACAGTGAGAAGCTGTGGACCCACAAAAATAACACATTTCTTTATAAACCACAAGCCAGGACAAACCAGATTGGCTTCAAACAGCATCCACTCTGCAGCAGGAAACACTGCAGATCAAGTAACTGTGGTGTCTGGAGGAGAGCAGGGATTTGCTGGTAGTTTGCTCCTTGTTTCATGGATTATATTAAAGCTGCTTTATCTTCAGTTGTGATCCCATCAGATGTAGCTAAATTATCTTTCGTTAAACTGGCGTATTTGGTCGGAGAAAAGAAATATCGTAGTCTTTTATCCTATATGAAAAGCCTTCTGTGGCTTATGAGTAACAAGTACGTGAAGTAAAGAATGGATGCTGTAGTTTCCTTTTTAATTCCCTGCTCTCAGCGTTGATTCTATCGCATAGTATCCACAGTAACCCTTGTTAATAACAGAAATCTCCTCCACCAAACTGTAGACCAGGTCCTGAGCTGTCATTATTGTTTACTGTAAGCTGTTAGTTTTGGTGTCAGAAGATTTTACATTTCCCCATATACCCAAAGTGATATGGGATTCACCGGGATCCAGTACCTCTGTTTATATCAAAGCTTGTTATAAGCAAGAAAACTTGTTCCAAAACTGATAATAACTTTTGTATAATCCTTCTGAGTTCTTGGTTAACTCATTAGTTAACAGTGGAGAAACACTATCTGCCGTATGGAAAGGAAGATCCAGCAGTAAAGCTGCAAGAAAATTGCAGCTGGAGAAATGCAGATGGCTACTCATTAGGCACTATACTAGACAAAGCTACTCAGTTGACTTTATTTTGCTAACAGTTACAAAAGTCCAGCATTCATCCTTCAAGCAGTGGAGATCAGTTTGTCTCATGACTGAGTGCTGAAATGCCAAAGTCCTGAGCAAGTGAAAACTCTTTGGATGAAACTTCTCTTTCTCCTTCCCCTTTCCTGCGGTTCTGATGTCTCTCATTTCACATAACTGAGCCATGCCCTTTGTGTTGTATAAAAGTTACGACTTAATAGACTGTGTTTCAGGAGAAAAGCTTTAATGTGCCACAGTGTATGAAAGTGATTAAGTCTATATCCTGTGTCTGAGTTCTCAGTATTATGTCATGGTAGAGACTTAATTCTTTCTGAGGCACTGTCAGACCTTCCTAGTGAGAGATGAGGGCCGTTATCCACTGCCCTGAAATCATGTCTTCCACATCAGGAGGTGAGAGATTACCAGTACAGCCAAGAGCAGTACTGTGGCAACTGTAGTAATGTGTAAAATGCCCGTTTCCAATGCTTACCTACTATCTGGAAATACCGATAGGAGCATTATGTGTGGCAAGGATCTTTCTTGTGTTTGGGACCATTAAACATTTAAGACAGCTTAAGGATGGAGGTTTTGGCACAGGTGAAAATGAAAAACAGCAAATAATATACTTTTACCTTTAAAAATAGAACTGTGTTATGAGTCCAGTAAATTGCAAGTTCATGGCTATAGTCCACCAATGCACACTTGACTCACTAGTAGAGAGAGATCTAGGCAGCCTTTAGGTAAATACATATTTTGAGGCTTGGATTAGGGAGTTCTCCAGTAAAGTGTCTACTTTCTCACACATTGTTCATCTCTTAAATACTTTTGGTTTTACTCTTATTAATAACCAATTGCAGTTTTATTGTATTAAAAATTTGAAAAATACATTTTCTCATCTTGTGAGTCTTGCCATCCCTTGCTGGCTGTAAGCACTAAATTCTCTTACATGCAACAGTGCTGTGAGGAAGAAGCTTTACAGATTCAGAGAATTTCAAGCTAGAAGGCAGATCTCTTCCATTGCCCAGAGTTTCCCATCCTGATCTCAAAGCTTTAGATGACAAAGACTTCAGTATCTCCCTAGAAAAGATGTTCTCTGCAGAATGTACACAAAATAGCCTTTCAGAGTGTACGTAAAATATTGTAAGAGTGGTCTCAGCAGTACTGTTGTTGACATCTGTCACCGTGGTGATTGCACCTGCCTACTGCGATTCAGTAGTCTTCTGCTTACATACTCAAGGATCATACCTGCTACAGCGCTGTGTTAAGAATTTGCTTCCCAAGGGCTTAATCTCAATGCATAAATCTTCTGGGTTTATACTTTTCAGAAAACTGTCCTCCAGCCTATATTGTAACCAGTGTTCTTGATTTCTAGATGAGTGACTTGGCTGTCGGCAGTCACTCAGTGAACCTAGCTGTTGTGTTATCTGGATGCTCTGTAAAACTGAGTTGTTTTGATCATTCGTTTTCACTCCACCAATTCTTGTTCAGATGCAGATGTTCCTAGAATTATTTTTTTTAGAGCACTGATAAAAACAGCAATAGGCCAAGAGCAAACACATCAAATCCTGTACCTCTTGTGAACTATAAAGATTTGGAGACAGGATCTTTCTGTATTTTGTTTCTGATATACCACTTGGTCAATGAACAAAGTATCACTGTACAGTGGGTCTTTGCTTTGAAGTCCCGTTTGATACTCCATCATTTGGCTCAGAAGCATCCCTATCGTTTAGGAACTTGAATCATCATAAAATGAAAAGATTTGAAAAGATCATCATAAATGGATGCAATACTGGAGCAGCCATATGAAGTGACACTTCACCCCGCAGTATACTTTCATATAGAAGTAAGTAATAGACCACTGTGAGGTGGGTCGAATTTTTTTGGCACAGCAGACTGAAGAATTAGGAACAATAATAAGCAATGTGTTTGCTCTCTGAATAACAATTTCTTGATTTCTGCCACCAAAAAGAGACAAGACTCTTCCAACCAAAACAAACATTCACATATCTTGGAGCAAAAGTCTGTCTCCTTCCTGGAGAGATTAGTGGGTGAGGACAATTTGTTTTTGTTCATGCAATCTGTGTTCAGTTTCATTTATTTTTGCCTGTTTGGAGAAAATGAATTTGCAAGTGTTTTGTTGCTGGTCTAATGCTTGGTTAAAACATTTGTTGTGTTTAATTGGAATTCCCCTGTGTATTTCCTTTACAGCTAACAGTGGCGCCAAAATTCCTACCGAATACCTTGATCAGTGCAGATTTTGCAGCCAATTATCTCACTAAGATATATGGGCTCACCTTTGGACAGAAACCAAACTTGAGGTAAGGGATCAGGAAGTGAAACAATAATGGTGTTCTGCCACTGCTTGGAGGCCTTTGGTGAGTGATAAGAAACTATCTGGCTAACCCATGTTATTGCCTACTTATGTTTTGTTTGAAAGAAACTGTTTGTTATCCTCAGCTTGAAAGATCAAATAATCTCTCAGACAAACACCTTCCAAGGCCTTTTACTAGCTGCCAGATACTTTTGCGTAGACAAAAATGAAATTGTCTCCATTTTATTTGTGTATCAGGTATGAGTTGAAAGTAACAGGTTTGGTTTCTCAAAATGGAGATTAACTGTTTAGAAATCCCTAGTTTTATTGTAGTCCATTTGTTTAAAAAAATAGAGTCAGGTTGAGAGTGCAATACTCAATGCAGTTGAGTATAACTTAACTGTATTAAAGCTAAGCACTTTTGCACCTTCAGAAGTGGTTCATACCCTCAGGTCAGGTTTCAAAGGTCTCTCTGCTATTTTCAAGTTGTGATTTTCTCAGCTGGATCCAGTGCAGCACATTGGCCCATCTCAAATTCAGATGCACATAGACCACCTCCTGTGAGATACGGTCTTTTCCAAAGGCATTTTGAGTAATCTGTACGGACACTGCAGCATCTAAATCCTGCAAGGACATCTCAAACTCTGTTGGTAGCAATTTATGCATCCAAGTTTGGAAGTGGTTGATAATCGCTGACCCAGTTGAGCTCCTAGAGCCGAGTCTTCTGATGAACTGAAGGACTCTCAATTCACACAGAATTCGTTGAGAGTTGAAGTTACTCTATACTTACTAGGCCTTTAGTCTTGTGGGCTCTTGGTAGCTCAAAAGGCTGAGTCAGTCACTGATTTCTGGCAATATCTCATCATGAAAGAAGGCAGATTTGTACACGTGTGCTTCCCTAATCTGAGATGCTACAAGGGCATCTGAAGGGCTACGAGGATGGTGAAGGACTGGAGCATCTCTCCTACTAGGAAAGGCTGAGGGAGCTGGGCTTGTTCTGCCTGAAGAAGAGAAGGCTGAGAGGGGACCTTATATATACTTACAAATATCTGCAGGGTGGGTGTCAGAAGGATGGGGCCAAGCTCTTTTCAGTGATGCCCAGCGACAGGACAAGGGGCAACGGGCACAAACTGAAGCATAGGAAGTTCCAGCTGGACACAAGGAAGAACTTCTTCCCTCTGAGGGTGACGGAGCACTGGCACAGGTTGCCCAGGGAGGTTGTGGAGTCTCCTTCTCTGTAGATATTCAAGGCCCGCCTGGACAAGGTCCTGTGCAGCCTGCTGTAGGTGACCCTGCTTTGGCAGGGCGGTTGGACTAGATGACCCACAGAGGTCCCTTCCAACCCCTACCATTCTGTGATTTTGTGATTCTATGCAGAAGCTGCTGTGTTTTGATTTAATGTTAAAATTCTTGCACTCTTCTGAAGTGATTTTCACATTTTCCTATACCAACACTATTTTAAATCAGAATAGTAACTCGCTGATTTCCAAGATGGCTGGTATAAAATCCTAACACAGTTGTTTCAGTTGATTTATTTGTCCCCAGCAGAGTTCATGGGCTCAGACTGATTATTTGGAAAGCAGAGTTTTCAGAAAGGCAAATATTTGTGAGTCAAAAGTACAGCTGACCATGCAGGGTGAACAATATTTTCAGTGTGGCTCTGAACTCCCTGGAGTGTGGGATCACACGATTGTGTTTCCATACTGAGCCTTTCCTTCCTTCCAGAAAGATGTTGCCAAGTGCTTTGCAACTGGTAGAGAATCCAAGAACAAATTAAAAAAGCATACTTTGACACTGTGCTCTTTTGTGGTTTTAACCTTTCTCTGCAATTTTAGCTGCCTGTTGCATCTGCGGGTAAACACAGGAAAGGAAGGGGTAATCAAAGTCAGTAAAATCCTGTAATTTCTTTTGTTAAAAAGAACTCAAATGAATTCATTTAGCAGTTAAGCCAATGAAAAACAGGAATAACTTCATAGGGGTCGATTGTTTTATAAAGAATTAAAACCTGTGTAAGAAAGAATTAATCAATTTTTAAAAATCTGAATGGAACAACTATGCTGTGATTACTAAATGTTAGAATTAAGAAGGGCAAAGGGAAAATAAGAAACCCTCTTTCTCTCGATCCCAAAGGTTCATTAAAAAGCAAAATTCTTCCAGACTGAGTAAGTCTGCTCTGTCTTTTGGTCAGTACTCTGTGCCTTTCTGAGTTCTAGGAATACGAGAGAAACTGTTTCCTGGGGTATTTCCAGCCTTCGTGGAAGCAGAAAAAATGGAGGGGTGAGAGATGGTCCTTTTGTTAAGAGATCTACAGGATGATTTTGTAAGCCCAGGAAGCCCAGATTTGATTCTAAGTAGAAGTTAAAATTGGGGGCATATCTATTAACCAGATACGAGTTCTAACCCTCTTGAGTGAGGCCACCACACCGACATTATTTGTTTCAAAGCACTGCAAAATCCCAGACATGCACTCAGTTTCTTCGTAAGAAGATAAGGCTACTTGGGAAATTTGTATTCACATGCAGGTTTGGATTTTGAATAGACCTAAATTTCAGAGAGTATTTGGACCAACCGTTTGGTTTTGCATCTATATCCCTTGCTAAATTTAAGGGCAAATTTTAAAAACAAATCTAATTATCTCAAGAAGAAAAGATTGAAGTACAGTTTTTAAACATCTTTCGGTAAACAAAAACCCCAAGATTTCACTATCTGTTTAACTTCATGTTTTTTCTCCTTCCACAGATCTGTGTATCTTCATAACAACAAACTTTCAGATGCTGGGTTACCTGACAGTATGTTCAATGGCTCTGATAATGTGGAGATACTCATCATGTCCAGCAATTTCTTGAAGTATGTTCCAAAGAATCTACCTCCAGCACTGTATAAATTACACTTAAAGGTAATGACAACAAGGTTTTGTGTTCCTTTAAGATTGTGACAAAGTCCTGTGTTTGTGTGGGATACAAACCACACATCCAAACCATTTCAGTGCACTTGGAAACATTCCCAGGCCCTTTGTAGGCCTCGTCTGCTATATCCTCGACAGTAGCTGTCTCCCATGTGTCCGTCCTTTTTTGTTCACAAGTAACAGTGTGTTTTTGCAAAACAGCATGCTCAAAGGGGACAAAAATGCTTCTCTGTGTTTTCAGGGGAATATAAGGATATATAAGGATATTAATATATATTAGTACCAGAACGTAGATCGTTCTCCATGGCCATCCAGTGATTGGCCTCCCAGTTAAGTTTGCAACTGATGATGCTGTTTTTCCTGACAGCTGCTTACCCACTGTGTACTGGCTTTGCTCACTAACTCATTTCACATAGACTACTGTTTCCTAGCATCAGTGATTTTTGTTTGCTACTGAACTGGCAGTTCAGACAACTCAGAGAATGTTTGGATCAGTGACTCTTTACTGCTACAACTCCTCCAGCAATAGTGCAACAGCAGAAGTTGTGGTATTAACTAGTCTCCAGTATTTTTAATTCCATGTCATCTGATTTCGATAAAAACACGTCGTCATGTCTGTGCTAGAGATCTCAGCCTTGTTAACAATGGGAGAGCTGCAGCGGTCGGGAATCCTGGTTCCACTTGCTTCTAGTGTTGACAGCTGCTTGGAAGTGCGTAGACTGGAGTTTGTTATCAGCCCCTGGACTTAGGCAGTTCTGTGTTGCCTCCCAGCTTTCTTCTCCCTTGAAGGTTTCACCATTAATTCCCATTAAAATCTTCTAGAAAACAGGCTTCTCCAGCTCGAGGAAAAATTAAGGCAAACAGTCTGATCCTTTAAATTGCTGGAATTTCTCTGCAAAATGTGAAGTTACTAGTCCCCTGCATTTTATTGCCATCTATAGGTAATCATTATCTCCCAGAGGGGTCTCAGACTTTGAGGACTACACTTTGAACTTGTATCCTTCCCTGCTTTCTCCAGCTGTGTTGAGGGCAGAGGAGCTGAGGAGAGAAATGACCTTTTCAGTTTTCATGTGTGCTGCCTGTCAGTAGTAACATTCACCTTTATATTTTGACTGAGAAAAAAACAGGACAATGGGAAATGAGAGACAGCCAAAAGTGGACCAAAAAGTGTCCAAAGGGTGCACTTCAGATACGACAGGTCAGGTTTTTTTTCTTTCACTATTTATTGAGATGCTCAGCCCCATCTGTCTGCGGTGGTATCCACTTTGTATTAGTTGGCACATGAATCTTGTCCAGACTGTCCATCACGTTACTGTGTATATGTGGATTGTGGGAAGTTTAACAAATTCAGTGTCAGTGTTTTATATATTCTTTATAATTCCTAGTGTTTCCTGGTGTTTTATATATCCTTTTATAATTCCGACAGTTTCTGTATGGAGTTTGTAAGCAGAATTTAGTTTTATATTTTGTCTGTGTCTGCCTGCTAGCTACTCCAAAGCCATACTAAGGCCACAGGACTAATTATTTTGGAACCTACATTGCAGGAACTGTACCTTTTGGAACACCATTAAAACTGGAAGGATGGCTGGTTCCCAGCTTCTAACCTAATTCTTCTCTATGGTGAAATCTGTCTTACAAAACGCAGAAATTTTGAGCAAACCCCAGAGGTAGTTGCTGAGATTACATTATATGTTTGCACATAGGTGGAAAGACTAAGAATACAAAATAAAACTGTCTGGTGTGGGGGCGAATTCTAATTCCTTAGCCCAAAGATTCCATGCGGAATTAATAAAAATAGAGTGTAATATTTCAGTCTAGTATTTGTATTTATTTCTTAAGTGGAATTATAATGTCCCCTGAAATACCTTACATCTAGCCCTTTTAAAGTTTCATTGCCTGGTGTTAGCTGAGCAGAACCTGAACGTCCTGTGTTGTTTCATGCCAAATAATGTCCTTTGTGCTTCTGGTGACTCTAGAACAACAAGCTAGAGAAGATTCCCAAAGGAGCCTTCAGTGAACTTACAGGACTGCGGGAGCTGTACTTACAGAATAACTACTTGACTAATGAAGGAATGGACAATGAAACTTTCTGGTGAGACTGAGATCTGTAGTTTGCACCTCTGTTTGAGTCTGTCTATCTTTTCTGGTACAGTAGTATATCTACTGAAAAAAAGATACATCTTAAAAAGTACATTATTTAAAGCTGCATGACATTGTGCATTTCTCTGCGAAGTCTGTATGAAAAGACTTAGATTCAGATGCTGCCATTCAAAAGCAAAGGTCTGGGTGAGCGGTTTGAGTTCATGCTGCAGAACATTTTTATACAGAAGACACAACACTGAGCATCAGACTGCATCACTCCCTGATTGCCACAGACCGAGCCACACCAGGTACTACGTGCCTTCTGGGAAAGGGCTACCTGGAACGATGTTGAAAGCTGGTGTCTGTTCTTCCAAACCAGTCAAAAGTGAGGTTACTTGGGACTTTGCAGTTTCCAGGGCAGTTCACTGGAAGTTAAGGCCAGACCTTCATCTTCGCAAAAGCTACTTCTGTGTTTCTCTGAAGGTAACTTGAAAGCAGCCACAGGTACACAGCTGTGAATTCATCTGGCACAGCTGTACCCCAGTGCAGATGGATTGCTGGAGTGGAAGGGGATGCAATGGTGCTGCTCAATAGCCAGATGGCTGCAAAAGCTTTGCTACAAACTGGTGTAACAGAAATAATCTTTGGCTGTCCTAAATTTAGTCTGGGACATAGCGCTTCAAAAAGTTAATGTTTGTGTCTCTGCTTGCACCGAATGTTGCCCTTGTTCTACCTGAAAATCCAGATCACGTAATCTGTCCTGCCCATAACTTATTTCTGTAAACTTTTCTGATCTCCAGACATGAAAATGTATCAAACTGTGCTTCCCTTTTCTGCATCCTACTCCCAGAAACCACCCTTAGCAATTTACCATAGCTGTGTTGTGCCCCCCTCCAGGTCATGCTGGACATACCATTTCTGTTAAGATTCAGATGAATAGAGTGCAGTGGCTGTAGCTAAGGCACCGGTCACAGTCAGCAGAGGGGGTGGATACTGCTCCTTGCTCTCATGCTGCTGTCTGTCCAGCACAGCGTAGTGCTATTGAGATGTACCCAAGCTGGGGAAGCGTAACAACTTGCAGCAATGAAGCGCTTTACCCAGAGAGTATATTTGCTCCTTCAGAGCATGTTTGGATAGCTGTGAATATCAGCGTGGTAACCAGTAAGTGATGTCTGTAAGGCATTAGTTCTTGCATTTTCTGAAAACTCTAGTCATCTGCAGTGGCTTATGTAGTGCCATGCAGATTACAGCCTCGCTGGAACTCAGAAACTGGCTTGAAATACGAGGGAATAGAGGGCTTCTCAATCCTGGCATGTAATACCATTGATCCACATCCAGTTGGTGTAAGTGGCTGGTCTGAGGGTTTATTTTAGCTTCAACTGAGTCTAGGGAATCCAGATTCAGTAGCTTACACAAAGCAGCTCTAGCCCTGACTCACTTCCATAATGCTGGAGGGTCAGGAGAAGTTCACTACCTTAGCCTAGGATGCTGAATTAGCCCTTCTGCTTTTCATAAGAGTGATATTTCATCACCTAAAAAGCAGGCCTGCTTTTCAGTTTCGATATACAGAAATATATATGTTCTGTATATTTATATGTCTCCGTTTCAAGAGACAGAAATTACTCGTGCTCAGGCTACACTTCTGTGAAACTGAGAGCTGAATTCTGTGCTCTAATGGTGCTCCCATGGCATCTTTCTTGTGGTGTTTGTACACTGAAATTGGTTGTACGTTACTATCTGTGGTGTCAAATGAGAGAACAGTAGTCTGATTGCAGGTCTCAGCCCTGTGGCAGTTCGGATGGCTGTGGACTCTAGCAGGTTCTCTTGCTAGCGTGGCTGGGGAGCAATGGCAGCGCCTAGTCCTCATCCCTAATGGCCGTATGGGAACTCCCTGTTTTGCTGTCTATATCAGTCATATCGTGAGACAAGAAAGGGCAGTAATGGGAGCTCTGCTGGGGAGAGACCCTAAAACAAAGATTGTAAAATCCTAGGGGAAGCTCATTATCATTTCACCTTGCAGAATCTAGATCAAGAGTGTTTTCTTTCCTGCTTTCCCAAGGAAATTGTCTAGTCTTGAATATCTGGATTTGTCCAGCAATAACCTCTCACAAATCCCAAGTGGTTTACCTCGAAACATCGTCCTCCTCCACCTGGAGAAGAATGCAATTAAGGTGATTGGCAGAGATGTCTTGACGCAAATTAAGAACCTGGAGTACCTTCTTCTCCACAATAACAAGTTAAAAGCCCGAGGTATTCATCCGTTAGCCTTCCATGGCTTAAAGAAACTTCACACTGTCCACCTGTACAACAACATGCTGGAAAGGATTCCCAGTGGGCTGCCCCGTCGAGTGAAAACACTTATGATCCTTCATAACCAGATCTCTGAGATTAACAGGAATGACTTTGCTACCACTTACTTCCTTGAAGAACTGAATCTGAGCTACAATAAACTCAAAAGTCCCCAGATCCATCGGGAGGCCTTCCGTAAACTGAGGCAACTGAAGTCCTTGGATCTTTCTGGAAACAATCTCCACACAATGCCCTTTGGCTTTCCAAAGAACTTGCAGATTCTGAAGCTGAAGGAGAACGAGATAAGCATCATCCCAAAAGGGACTTTGTCTGGGATGACAAAGCTGCGGGAACTGTATTTGAGCAACAATAAACTGAAAGTAAATTCCATTTATTCAAGAGCGTGGAGAGAACTCAGCAGTCTCCAGGTAGAAACATCACCTTCTTTAATTGTTTTAGTAATGCTGATGTCCTTGTCTGTCTGCCTATGCCACTTTGTATAGCACCAATACTGGATGTGCTTGGTCCTCATGTTTTGGGCTTTCATTGTAAGTGCTACACTTCTCTTTCTAGAGTAGAAATGATGTGCTGTTGTGCCAGAAGCGGGTACCTCCCACTGCTGGCCAGGATGGTGGTCCACCATGTACTGCCAATTCTCGAAAATGTAAAGAGACCTTTGTTTCTGAACCCTGATGGTGTCCTATTTTTTCAGATAAACATTAGTGAATGTTGTCACTAAAACTGAAATTATGCCTTTCAAATAGCTTGTCTCCCAAAAGATTTAAAATCAGCTCTGAAGAGAGACAGCAGGAGGAAGGAATGCATAAACAAAAACACTCTTAATTCTCAAAGCCCCCACATCAGCTTATAGTCAGACAGGCCAAGCTTTAGGATTTAGCAGCTCAGCTGGCTAAGGCACCTGGATAGCAGCTAGGAGGTCTGGATTCAATCATCAGTCTTCTCATTTGCTTAATTGTTGGAGAAAGTTAAACACAAACCATAAGGCAGGCAGGAACAATCACATTTGTGCTGTGCGGAATGACCTCTCAAAATTGTTACATTGGCTGAAGGATTTGTCTGCATTTCCTTTTAGGCAGCAGCCTGTTTCCTGCAGTGAAAGGTATTACCTGTGTCATATGGCAGCCGTCTATGGTGCATATGGTTAGGTCGCTGTACAGGCAGGTTTGTACGTCACAGGGCAGATCGGGGATAAGGGACGGGGAGCATATGCCACACTGGCCCCCAGTGTGTTTTCAGACAATTCAAACATTTGTCTATGTGAAATTTCCCTTTTCGTTGTTTCTGGGAATAAACAATATCTTATTTTTCAGTTAATGAAATCAGTTTTTAATTTTTAATCAGTTAATTAATTTTTCAGTTAAGTTGATCATCAGCAATGCAGCAACAGTATCTGCAGAGGTGTTGGTTTGCATCCGCTGCAGATTTGGTCCATGGCTTTGATAATACATTTTGCATTCATTTGGTGCCTCACTGATATCATAGAATCACAGAATCATAGGTTGGAAAAGACCTCTCAGATCATCAAGTCCAGCCATCACCCCAACACCACCATGTCTGCTAAACCATGTCCCGAAGTGCCACATCCACACGTTTTTTGAACACCTCCAGGGATGGGGACTCAACCACTTCTCTGCACAGCCTGGTCCAATGCCTGACCACTCTTTCAGTTAAAAAAAAAAAAAAAAAAAAAAAAAGTTTTTTAATAAAACT